ACTTAATTATTATAAACATACATGGGTATGTTTGTAATAATGATGGCATGGATTTACTGTTTATGAATTGATGGAGTGTCAATGAAAAGAAAACTCGTTTTTAGCCGACCATGATTGGTTAGCGACTTTGGCTCAAGTAATTTAGCAAGCTTTGCCTCAAGCGATGTAGCAAGATTTGGATCAAGCGATGTAGCAAGCTTTGGTTGGCTCAAGCGATGTAGAAAGCTTTGGCTCAAGCGATGTAGCAAGATTTGGCTCAAGTGATTTAGCAAGCTTTGGCTCAAGCGATGTAGCAAGCTTTGGCTCAAGCGATGTAGCAAGCTTTTCCTCAAGCGATGTAGCAAACTTTGGCTCAAGTTATGTAGCATGGTTTTCAAAAAGTATAAATGATGAAATTGGTTTTAAGAATATTTAACTCTAAATTGTTTACTTAATCTTATTAAAATGTGGATTAACGTACGTTGACATTTATTACGTTAACGACTTACTCCTTTGTGTTTTCTGTGTATGGTCAATGTTAATCCCATTGCAGGTAGGTGGAAGATGTAAGGACGTTTTGATTAGGAGCTTAGAGGCTTTTAATTTTTTGGGAGTTCTTATATTCATTCTTTTGTAATATGACTGAATGTATTTTGGACATGAATATTTGTAACTCTGGATATTCGTAGCTATGGGTATTTTGGAATCTCATAGCTAATTGTATGCGGTAGTTACCAAGATGCATGAATGAATTATGATTTTCTGCTATGCGAATATGTATGTTATTTATGGACTTATGAAATGGGTACGAGCAGGAAATTGGGACTTAACTTAAGTCATTGGCATTTATGTTTGAAAGTCGTAGGAAAATGCATAAAAGATGAATGAAATATGAAAAAAATTTCAATGATAGAATTTGGGTCCTTACATAAAAGGGTGGTGTTTGAGAGGCTTGGAGAGTTGTGGTTCATAGTTGTCTAATGTTTGTTCTTTCTCATAAAATCAGAATGCTCAAAAATGATCTAAGGCATTGGAACATTAATGTCTTTGGTGATGTCCACCAAAGAGTTAAAAATGCTTATAATGCAGTGGAAGTCATTTAAATGTACATCAATGAGTCTAGATCAGATGCAGAATTGTTAAACCAAGAAAATATTGCTCAAAAGGATCTTCTTCAAGCTCTTATAGTGGAAGAGACATTTTGGATGGAGAAAGCTAGATTAAATTGGCAACTTTATGTGGATAGAAATACAAGTTTCTTTCATAAAGTAACCAAAATATGACAAGTTACCAAATCCATGACTTTGTTAAAGGATGGTGATAGAATCCTGACTTCCCAAGAGGACCTTGGAACTCATGTGATCAATTACTTAACTGAATTGTTTGCTTCTACAAACAATACTTATCATAACAATTTAATTCAGGATGTGGTCCCAAGTCTAGTTTCAGATTCAGAGAACACCATGTTAACCACTATCCCATATTTTGATGAAATCAAAAGTGCAGTCTTTGCTATGAATGGTGATGGAGCCCTAGGACCTGATGGCTTTGGTGGTTGTTTTACCAAATTTTTTGGGACATTGTGGGTGAGGATGTGTGTAACCATGTGAGACAATTTTTCATTCAGGGTTGGCTTTTACCAAACCTGAACTCCAACTCAGTGGGTTTAATCCCTAAGTCCCCCTAATGCTGATAAAATTGAAGATTTACACCAGTTGCTCTTGCTAATTTCCACTCAAAATTATCACTAAAGTGCTTACTGATAGACTTGCACTCATTGCTCCAAGAATTGTCTCTCAAGAGCAGAGAGGCTTCATAAAAGAGAGAATTGAAGCATCAAAGATTGCATTTGCTTTGCCTCAAAAGCCATTAATATGCTTGATCACAAATTTTTTGGTGGGAATCTTGCCATCAAGTTAGACATCAAGAAGGCATTTGACACTATGGATTAGGATTTCTTGCTTGAGACTCTTAATGCTTTTGGGTTTAATCAACAATTCATTAGTTGGGTGAGGGTGATTTTACATTCAGCTAAGTTATCCATCAATGTCAATGGGCAAAATGTGGGTTTCTTCAATTGCAAGAGAAGGGTTAGACAGAGTGATCCTTTATCTCCTCTTTTATTTTGCTTAGCTGAAGATGTAACACCTCAAATTTCGTTTTCAGAATGATTAGAAAACTTAGAGTGTTGTGGTGTATACTGGAAAATTCTCGCTTGAGCGAGAGGATCTCGTCTAAGCGAGAGACTCAGTGTTCTAGTATGAGTTTTCTGGGAACCTCGCTCAAGCGAAGAAGTGGTCGCTTGAGCGAGAGAGGTCTAGGCAGGCTGTGAGATTCTCGCTTGAGTGAGAGAATCTCGCTCAGGCGAGAGAATCTCGCCCAAGCGAGAGAGGTCTGGGTAGGCTGTGAGATTCTCGCTTGAGCGAGAGAATATCGCCCAAGCGAGAGCGTCAGTGCCTGAAAAATTGAAAAGTCGAGGACTTCTCGCCCAAGCGAGGCTACATAGCTATAAAAGTGAAAAAAGGGATTCATAAACCCTAATCTTCATTTTCTTTCTCCTCCTTTCACCCCAACGACGGCTCCCCATGAAATTCGATTCTCTCCTCCGCTAAACCTTAAAAACTCATCAACCCTCTTCCTTTTACTTCTTAACGGCACAACGATGGCTATTGAAGATGAAAATGAGAGCTTTGGAGGTTGAAGGAGATTGTGGAAGAAGTGGCTCCTTTGCAAAAAAAAGGAGCTTACGCAAACTCAGGTGAGGGAGAAGACCATTGTGGTATTAGAGTATTTCATTAGAGTTATCTTCTCCGATTTCCCTCAAGAATTAGAGAGTGTTGTTGGATAGAAACTCCCTTGGAAGCTTGTTTTTCCATGCGAGAGTCTTTATCTTCCATGAAGATGTATTAGCCAGAAACATGGAAATATATGTGTAAGAAAAACCGTTTTGTAAATTAAATGCGAAATATTTGTTTATGGTAATACGCCGTCATGGAAGATTGTTCTATCTTTATTTGTGTGTATGAATTATGATATTGTGATAAAATGAGATGATTGTGTTATGTGATAATGATTATGTTGTGGGTTATTTTATTGTGGTAAGGAATAAGATATATTGTGATTATGACATTGATGTGGTATTTTATGTTATGGTGAAGTCGTGATGTGAGAATAACATAGTGGTACTGATTATATTGTGGGTTGTATTGTTGCATTGGCATGAGAACGATTTAGATTGATTGTGAGAGTGATATTAGGAATGTACAACTATTATGTGGATTTGTTATTAAATTTATATGCTCTATGAAGCATATCTTGGCTCCCCTATGTGGTGTATCAATTTATAGGCTCTATGAAGCATATCATGGCTCCCTTATGTGGTGTAGCAATTTATAGGCTCTATGAAGCATATCTTGGCTCCCCTATGCGGTGTAGCAATTTATAGGCTCTATGAAGCATACTTTGGCTCCCCTATGCGGTGAAGCATACTTTGGCTCCCCTATGCGGTGAAGCATACTTTGGCTCCCCTATGCGGTGTAGCATACTTTGGCTCTCCTATGTGGTGTAGCATATTTTGGCTCCCTTATGTGGTGTAGCATATTATTAGCTCTATGTAGCAATGTCTGACTTGCCCTATGGGGTATGATATTCTTGGAAGTATTGTATTGCTTTGGAAGAGTTGTATTGCTTGTAAGTATCGTATTGCCTTCGGGTATAGAGTTGTTGTTGTGTATTGGGAGAGACTATGGTATTGTGATCTTGTTGAAGATTAGATTGAATAAATCGTATAAGTAAGTTATAATAGATACTAATTGAAGATGTGAATATACTACGATATGAAGTATTGATTGTGTGCATCGTTTGTATATGTTAATATGGTTGATTTTAGTTGTTGTATAGGTTGTATCACTTTAATGTTATTACTCCATGTAATTCCACGCTGCGGTCATCGTAGTTGGTTCTTACTCCCTGTCGCGCCCGAATTTTCGGCCACGCGACCTCTTGAGGAGTCGCCACCACGTCTTTTGCGGTTAAAACGTGGAAAACTCGAATTGAGCCCAAATTAGGATAAAATGGTCTTTCGATTTAGAGTTATGAGTTCGGGAGTCGATTACAGATCGGAGAATGTATTAGCACCCCGTCCGCCCGTACTTAAACAGTACCCTAACTAATTGCATGAATTAAATACCCTTAATTTATTAAAACTAAATTTGTTTAAAACAAAAATTTTATTTTTTTATTTTTTTATTTTTTGTGTCTGACAAGAGTTTATTTTGCTCCTACGTATCCCTAGGTGCAATAGGGAAATCAAGAATATGTAGTTCTGGTTGAAAATCGTTTGTTGGTTTGATTAAAAGTTGAAAATTCGTTTGATTAAGAGCTATAGAAATTTTGTTTGAAATTGATCGAAGTGAAATTAATAGACGAAAAGTCAACATTGATTGCTTACCCTCTTCTCACTTTGATAGATAACAGAAGCAGTACAAGTGACCGCGACCGGTTCTCGGCTCGAAGCGAGGAGAAAGATGCAATACGAGTTGTAACTTCGCTATTGAATCCCAAATAACTTCAGTATTTTTAAAGCGGGAATTAAATAGTGAAGAGTCGACATTAGTTGTTAACCATCTTCTCACTTCGATAAATAGCAGAAGCAGTACAAGTAACCGCGACCAATTCTCGACTCGAAATGAGAAATAAGATACGACACGAATCGTAACATCGGTATAAAATTCATTAAAAATTGGTTTGAGTTACTTTATTATTATCTTTATTCCCAGTGCATAGTTTTTATTACAAATAAATTAATTAAAACATATAAATGAAAAAAAAATTAAAAATAATAATAACAAAACAAGAAACTAAAAGGGGCAAGTTACCCTAGGTGCCATTTTCGTGAACCAGGGAACAAAATCCGTAGGTGCCATTTTCGCACCTTCGTTTCCAGCGGAAGCGGCAACGGCAACGGCAACGGCGTGGCCCCAAGACGTCGTCCCCAACTCGAAGTTTCTCTCAGCAGTGGTTCTCTTCAACGGTGATAGCGAAGACGAAGGGAAAGAAATCCCAAATCTCTTCTTCCATCCACTTCTCCTTCTCCAGCAATGGCAGCGGCGGCGACGACTTGCAATCCCAGCTTCAATCCACTCGTGGGTTTCAACCTTAGGTGGTGTAGCTCTTCCTTTTTTCTCAATCTATCAATCTATGACGGTGCCACGGGTTCTCTTCAATGGTGACAGCGGTGGCGATAAGCCACAATGATGGTTCTGCTGTGAGGAGGTGCTTCGAGTCCGGTGCTTCCGGCGATGATAAGGGTAATCATCTTCTCCCTTATTTCCTTTGCCGTTTTCTTTTCTTTTTTTCTTATGATTGATAGCTGCAAATACACCTTTGCTTTGCTAATCGTGTAATAGCTGTGTGTATACCTTTGCCTTTTGAAGTTTAATCCTCTCTTCTGGTATGTCCTTTACTGCCTTGGTTACCAATAGCTGACTGCTTTCTCCTTTGAACTACTCGTGTTGATAAGATTTTCTGCTTTCTGGGTTCATTCCCTTTTCGGTGCTATATGTATTACGTATTGTGTTGATTTCTTGCTAAGGTGTTGTTTGAGTGATCATGTGTGTTTGTGACTTCAGTATTTCGGACTGCTGTATACCTCTGACAGCTTGCGTATATATCAATGTGTGTATGAAGCAATAACGATAGGTAGGAGGGTTGAGAGGATTAAGATAATTGTTAAAGTATTCATGTCTTTGGGGGGTTCGAAATAGATTTGATAGCTATGTGGGGAGATCTTGTGAACACATTTCTTTTCCGATTGTGTGGTATGTGATAGGTGTGTATGGGTTCTGGTTATTGGATTTTCCTCTTTTTGTATTGTGATGCATTGTTTGGTGAGAGGAAGTGAGAGACTAAGGAGGGCATAGATGATAGAACAGTGTAGTGTGTATAGATAGCCCCCCATTTGTGTGTATATGGTGACTGCTTTATACTAATTCAGGATCCCTTTCCCTATGCCAAAACTCTTGACTTGCCAACTGTTATCCCTTTGAATGACCATTGATTATTCTTTTTATGAATGCTTATTATTGCTCATGCTGACTTGATTCACATGCCCTTTGATTTTCCTTACTGTTGTTTCCTCTCTTAACTCTCCGTTTGTAACTGTCCGAACCTGGTGCATTATATTCTGTTTTGCACTCCCTTGATGATGTTGTCTTTATTCCCTTTTTTAGTGTTTGAAACTATCAGGGCCTTTTGGAATTTCAGCAACGTTCCATGGCTCCCTGTTTTTTTATTCTATTCACCCATTAATGTCACCAATCATGATGATTATGATTGATGCAATAATCCAGCCTTGTACCTATTGCTATTTCTGAGGATTTGTTAGTGGTTTTCATTTATGCCCATTAAAGTGTGTAACTGAAAGATAATGTGGCATTTGCCTTGCTGTTGGAGAGTATTTGTGTTGATTAATTGTTTGTGTGTGTTCCTTTCGCAGATTGAAGTTAGTCTTTTGGTGAAGGGTGACTAATCTTGCTGTTGAAACCTATCCGAGACTCAATATCAGACTTGTTCTTGCGACTGGAAGATGGCAACGCGAGCTGTGAAGAGCTTCTGAATAGTCTCTCAAATATAGCCATGAATGAGAACATGAAAATAAGAATAGCAGTGGCTCTCTACCGGAGGTAGCTAAGCAACGTGAAGTGAGTGGGACGTTGCACCAACCAGACACAAAGAATAAGAAGCAAATATCAAGTGCTAAGACTAAGGAGCTCCTGAAATGATATATTTGGCCCTGCTCCTGAAATTTTGCTTCATCCAACAGCTGCTGCACTTACTTCAGAATCAAAAGAAAGTAAGGACATGAGAGGTCAGGCAATAATATTTTCAAGGGAGATGTTCCTCTAGCATCTGCAGAAAAGTCTCTGAGCAGAGCTAAACTTTAGAGACATTACTGGGAGTAACATATTCGCAGATGGAAATGTAGAAACCAGAGAGATTATATGTGGTGTATGCAGACCCCCTGGTGGGGGAAGCAGCATTGCCTTAGTTTAAACTTGAAATCTGTCCCATTTAACATGTGTGCCTTATTTGTCTGGAAAGATTATGTGTTGGATTGTACTCCAGTGCAGTATAAATAATTATGTTACATTAATGTATGACAGTGGTTATTATTTATTTTGATGTAAATAGTCGTATACTGGATTAATAAGAAATTATGAGTTTTGTCTTTGTAATGAATAAGAAATAGTTTGTTGTAGAAATTGTTTTTTTTATGATCATTTGAACTACATGCTTGAAAGTAGAGGTATCAGCTTGAACCAAAGTTGTAGGGCAAGGAATAGAATCAGATCTTGGGGTGAGCGATGATGTTGGAATTTGTATACAATTATTGTTGTTGCTACTGCCAATGCAATTGCTGATATTGATACTTGTGTAGTATGTAGTTCGTTTTTTCTCTTTTTTTCCAAGTAGAATGCCATATAATGTCAAATTGTGGAGTTTGAGTCACACCATTTCATATTATTTAAAATTCTGGGTTGCAAATGCTATCTTTTAGGAGTATCATTTGCTGTGATTTCATTATTCACAAAGTCATAGAAAGATTGATTAATAGAATAGGAGAAACCAACATCAGCTGGTGATTCCAAATACCACATATTTGTCTCAACAAGGAACAAAAATCAATATAAAATTTAGAATTACTCACACATGTACTGATTTATAATTTAATTACCCAAATGTTCTCCCAAATTATGAAGTGTTGTTTTATTTTTATTTTAAGTATCTTTTGTAAATGGGTCGGACAAAATTGAGTGTTTACACTCCCTTCTATCTTTTCTTTGTCTATGTCATGTGTATGAGTTCAGGTTGTTGCTGTTGCGCCTCAGATGTCTGCTGATGGAAGTACAAACTAGAGTAGTTGTTTTATGTGTCCGAAATTGTATTTGTATAATGTATGTAAATGAGAAATATGATAGAGTAATTCCTTTTGTACAAATGACCTATTTCTAAAGATGTAAGAAGACTAGTATAAAGACTTTAATAAGTGACTTAGTTGAAAGTGGATAATTGTATAGATCATGAATTTGAAGTTGAGTAAAATGACATGTTTTGTTGTAAAGACAAATTTGAATATTTACGCATTTTGAATTATGAAACTTAACTAACATTTGATTCTACTCAGATTTTCTAAATCATTTAAGTAATATCTACTGATAGTATTCACTTCATTTTTCGAAAATATAGTTTTTAATTTTCTTGGGTAATAAAAATTGGGTCGTTACAGAAGATGTGCTTAGAAGAGGGATTTCTAAACTAGTAGTTGATAGGAAACTTAGCCTGATTTATGGTCCTAATAGAATCCAGTCTCATAGTCATGTGCTCTATGTAGGTGATGTCTTAATTTTATGCAAAGGAATTAAGAGGAATCTGGAACACCTAAACTCTCTTCTTTCAGAATATGTTCAAGCTTCAGGTCAACATATTAACCTTAACAAAAGCAAGTTCTACACTTGCAATGCCTCTCATAGAAAAGTGGCAAACCTTTGCTCTATCCTTAGTTTCAATGTTGTCCATCTTCCTTTCAACTATCTAGGGATTCCTCTTTAAAGGCAAGCATAAGAGAGTCCATCTTCAACCAATTGCTGATAGAATCTTTCAGAAGTTGGCTAACTGGAAAGAATCTTCCTTGTCAATCACGGGTAAGGTGGAGCTTGTGAAATCAATCATTAATAGCATGCTGGTTTACAGTTTCCTCATATATAGCTGGCCTTCTCAATTGATTAAAAATATTGATGGTTGCATCAGAAATTTTATCTGGGCTGGTGACATAAATGCTAAGAAATTAATTATTATGGCTTGGAAGCAGGTTTGCTCCCCTACAATTGAGGGGTTTAAGTCTGAGATCATTAAGGCTTCTTAACAGATTTGCCCTACTGAAATTGGCTTGGGAAATGATGTATTCTAACCAAGATTGGGCTATTTTCTATAGGAATAGATTTGGGAAAAAAACCTTTGACTAAATATTACAAATCTTCCATATGGCCAAGTATTAGAGACAATTGGTCTATGGAAAAGTCAAGTTCAATTTGACTTATTGAAAATGGAATTAACTTTAACTTTTGGACTGATAATTGGATGGGAGTTCCTATAGTTTATCATCTACAAATTCCAGAGGCTATGCATCATTCTCTTAAAGCCTCTGTTTCTGATTTCATGCATGACTCTAACTGGATTTTTCCATATGCTTTGGCTGCTAGGATATCTAACCTTATCTGTATTCTTCCTAGTATCTCAAATTATGTTGATGAAATAGTTTGGCAAGGCACTTCATATGGTTCTCTTATAGATTAGCCAATCTGGGATACAAAGGAATTGGTGCAAATTGATTTGGTCTAAGACAATTCCTCCTTCGAAATCATTCACAACTTAGAGATTACTTAACAAGAAAATGCCTACTGATGAAAATCTACAAAAGAGGGGATGCTATTTAGCAGCTTATGCAAGGAAAATTCAGAAACTATTGAGCACCTCTTCTTATTGTGCCCTTTTGCAAATGCTCTATGGAATTGGTTGACTCATTATTTTGATCTAGCTTGGGATAAATAAGATATTCATACCCTGCTCCTTTGCTGCAATAGTCAATGGAGTCCCCAAGCTAGAGAGGTCTTGGTGGCTAGCATTGTGCACATCATCCATACAATCGGGTATTGTATAAATCAATACAGATTTCAAGATAAGATATTATTGGTGCCCCAAGCTTTAATTAGGATCACATATTCAATTGCTTTATCAGGTAATTCAACTCAGCTTTCCTCTAACATCTCTATAAAGGAATTATCTCTTCTTAGAGCATTGAACATTGCTATTAATCACTCAAAAGCTCCCATCATCACTGAGGTAATCTAGAAACCTCCTTCAAGAGGTTGGCTGAAAGTTAAGTCTAATGGTGCTGCTCATGGTGCACCTAGGCATGCTAGAGGTGGGGCTATTTTCAGAAATCACAATGGGAAATTTGTAGCTTGCTTTGCTACTTATCTGGATATCCAAGATGCTATGTATGCCGAGCTTCACACTACAATATAGCAATTGAGTTGGCTGCTCAAAATGGTTGGAATTCTATATGGCTAGAATGTGATTCAACTATGGTGGTAGACACTTTCAATGAAACAACCAAACCACCATGGAAGCTGTGGAATAGATGGCTGTTGTGCAAAACACTCCTTTCATCAATGAGATTTAAAATCTCTCACATATATAGGGAAGGTAACACTAGTGCACACAAATTGGCAAATTATGGTATTTTAACAAGAACTTTCACTCGGTGGGACTCAATTCCAATTTTCATTCATGAAGATTGTTATAGAAATGAATTAGGCTTGCCTAACTATAGATTTAGACAATTGTAACTTGTCTTTTGTATCTTGTTTGTTCATTATATATGTTGCATACATGCTCGGTGGAAAAGAAGCTATGGATCTCTCGCCCAAGACAGAGGGTTGCCCAAGCCCAAGTCTGCCTCTCGCCTGAGCGAGATAATAATGCTCAAGTGACAATCCCAGAATTGATGACAAAACTCTGAGGGTTTCTCGCCTGAGCGAGAGGATAACGCTCAAGCGAAAATTCCAAGATTGAAGACTAATATGTTTGCGGCTTTCTCGCTCATGCGACACCTGTCGCCCAAGCGAGTCACCTGTCTCAAAAGCGAGACATATTGAATGGATTGGCCTGTACTAATGACGTAGTAGGTCATTTTCTAGTATCTTTAATGCAATTGTATCTTATTTGCATAGGAATAGGCCTGACTTACCTAATTATAGGTTTAAGAACTTGTAAATCCTTTATGGATGCTCTTGGATAAGCTTTAATAATATATATATATATATATATATATATATATATATATATATATATATATATATATGGGTGTAATTACACCTTTGCTTCAAAAACATGTTGCTAATAGTGGGGTTGCAAACAATGATACAATTCCCGAACTTAATGAAAACTCGTCTGAAACATATATTTATATATATGTCAAATTTCTCTATATTTGTATAGCTTTTATATATATGTATTTTGTATAATTTTATAATTTTACATATATTATTCGGGTTCGGGGTAGGGTATCAACTGTACCAAACCCGAACTCAAACCCGAAATTCGAGCTCGGGTAAAACCCAAACCTAAACCCAATTACATCTGGTTCCCCCGTTAAATTCGGGTAGGACTCGAGCGGGACTCACGGGTTCGATTTTCATTGTCATTCCTAGAAAATAGACAATATTCATTATGAACCACCTTCCCCATCCCGAGTGATGGAAGTAACATAACAAATGTCTACAACCATTTATTAACTCATCATATAGGAAAAGGTAATAGGACATAAGTCGTGATACTCCTCTTAGCCTCTTAAGAGATCACCTATTTCATAATATTATTTTAATTATTAAAAAATTTCAACAATAACAATATGTAATGAATACATTTTAGATTTTTAGTTTTTTTAAAGCAAAAGGTGCAGCAGCACCAGAATTATATATCCATAAAATTAACTAGTACAAGAGGACCAAGAAAAAAATTACAAATGTTTGAATCTATAGTTAGGAAGGCCTAACTCAAAAAGGACTTTTATGCTCGTATTTATGTAAAAACTCTTCAGAATATTCATAAATGCATGCTGAAACATATATATTTTGGTAAAAAAAATATGTAATATCTTATAAGTACATAAAATGATTAAAATGTATTGTTCTTGTTGTTATTATTCTGATCCTCGAGTTATGATAGTACCCCAATGTGTGTCGATGGTTTACTATTTCGGTCCCCATGATCACGAGTATCGTGACATGATTGTTTCCAAGTTGCGACAGTAAACTAACATGCATTCTTGGTGGTTTCCTTTTGTTCATATTATAAAGTTTCAACAATATCCAATCTGCATTCTTTGTCTAGGTAAAACTTGATGCAGAGAAATATATTAGCATACAGAAGAATTAATTGGTAAGTTCTCTCCACCTCATCAACATTAATGTTAATCTCTTTACCCGTTCCTTAACACATAACAACATAACCTTGGTTCACTAGGTATCTTGTAAGTAACAACTATTTTTTTTAAAGCAAAGGTGGTGATCACCTATATATATATATATATTAATTAGTCATGAACATGAGATTACAAAGAAAGATTACAAAAAGCCATGCACAACTAGACATATCT